CTCGTATTACTGCTGCTGCTGATCTTTCTTCTACTTTATTTTTGTTCCAATTCCAGGTACACAGCTTGACTTCAATAATTGTGAAGCTGAAATGTAAAGGATGAACTTCTAGTTGAAGCCTGAATNTGGCGACTCTGAATTAAATAATAAATCCCGTTTCGATTATCCTTTAATTGGAAAAACTCCCCTACGCCCTTGCGGGCGCAGGTAAAAAGGAGGTGTGACAATAATTTGCACATATAAACCAAGTACGTACTCGTCACCTCGCGTATATGGTTTTCAATCACACAATTTCCACATAAGACTCAATGCCTAAGGAAAATTCCCCTACACAAGGTTAGACAAGATACTTACCTCAAATCACGCTATCACAATCCAATAATAGACATTTTTCCTCGATTATCCAACTCTGAATGGTTCGAATCTAGCCAAAAATAATTCAATACAATCAACACAAATTATTGGAATCAATCCCATATGAAAATACCAAATTTCCAGTAAAACCCCTCGGAATCCAGTGAAAGTTACAAAATATGAATGCTCATTCAACCACGAGTCCAAACCATACCAAAATTACTAAATTCCAACAACAAATCGACCTCCAAATCTTAAATCTAAGGTATAGAGAATTTGTACCATTTTCAACCCAATTCACTAATTTCATGATAAAAACAACAATAGATTCATGTATTTTAACCAAAATCGAGTTAGAACCACTTATCCCAATCTATATGGTGAAAATCGCCTAAAAAATCGCTTCAATCCGAGCTCCATAGCTCCAAATGTGTTAAAAATGGCTGAAACTCGCATTTTGTAATCTGTCCAGGTAAGTCGCAGATGTCGAATACGACTTATAAATCGCATTTGGTAACAGCGATTTGCCTCTGCCCCAAAACACAACATTACCCTCCTTCAGTAAATCAATCATAATATTTTGTACAAATATCCAAATGATGAACGGTTTGAAGCGTTAGAAACTAGACTCAAAGACCTTTAGGTTGTGCATCACATAAAACCTTATATATGTGTAGATATGCCCGTCCAAAGTGTGATCTTGTGCGTGCTCATTTAGAATTTTAGTCTATCTTGAAAATTTTCAACTTGGCTTAGACTTAGGCTTCTCCGTAGACCCCAAATCACTTATAATATACTTCGTACACTTATTATCATATCCAATTGATATCCATCATATTAATAGTCCGTCTTTGCACACAAAATAATATAATTAGCGCACATCAACTTTCTTTATAGCTTAAGTACTTCAAAAAGATTCTGGGGTGTTACAGAGAGAAATGATGAGCAATAGTCGCGAATCGAAAGAGAAGTACATATGAATTTTAGCCAAGGGGTAAAAGATATCACTGTAATTAAGCCTCAATATCTAAGTATAACAATTGGTAACAGGGTAGAATTTAAGTCAATCTGACCATCCGGATCAATTTTGACTGCACACACCCACCAATAACTAATGGTAGATTTACCTTGAAGTAGAGGAACAAGCTCCAAGTACCACTAGCAAGTAAAATAAATATTTCTTCGATCATAGCATGTCATCGTCCAAGATGAGATAGCATTTTACCTCTGAACTTAGGGATAAAAATAAAAGATAAAGAAGATAAACGATGATAACCTTAGACAATATAATGAATATTGGGAGTACCAGTGGATCGAATACCTTTTCGGAGTGCGATCGGTAAACTAAAAGAAGACAAGTCTGCAGTTGGTTAAGAATTCGATATAAGACATGAATCATCTGGACTTGATGTTGGACGTTGATGGTAATGATAAGTCAAGAGTGGTGGAGCTGTAGAAGATTGAACTAGAGTTTTAGATTATGGGACTAGAGTAATAGGTGATGAAACTAAAATTATAGATAGTGGAACTGAAGCTACAGGTAGTGAAGATGTTGAGGAAGATGAAGGAGAGATAATGGCTAAATCTCCAAAAGAAGGAACTATAATATCTTAGAAATATTTAAATGATCACCTTGACTAAGTATGGTTGGGTTTCAAAGAAGGTAACATAAGCTAATACAAGGCATTGTGTGAAGTTGGGTGAATAATATCGATATTACTTGTGCACCCTCAACTAACCTAGAAATATGCATTTAAGAGTACAAGGAACTAATTTATCTTTTCATGGGGTAAGGTTATGGACAACATATATACTCCTAAAGACACAAGGTGAAAGAGAACAAGGTAGGTAGAGAAAGAAAATATAATATGAAATAGTTGTGGATGCCATATGATTGATAACATAACACGATGTGATAATTGTATCTCCTAAAAAATACAATGGAACTTGAGATCGTACGAGTCATCTCAATGAAATTTGGGTTAATATTCCTAAATATGCATATTCTAAGAAAAGAAATAAAATCATGATTAAGAGTAGATTAAGGTATACTATATTTACAAGATGCTAGAATATTCTAGAATATCTACGAGATTTTAACAGTTTTAATCACTTGTGAATCATTGTGAAAATTAAGTAACTCCGTTCTATTTTACGTGATATTCTTTTAATCTACTTTTAAAAGAATATCATTTTTTATATCAAAATAATTCTAGGTTTAAATTTTCTATTTTACATATACTCATGTCATATTATTTTTAAATCAAAGTTCTAAGGTTATTCTGATAGGTGTAAGAAAAAATTATTTTTTAGCTCCAATCAAACACCATAATATGTACTACTATAAGAAATAGAGGGAGTATTCAAGTTTATCTTCTTTGCCCCTGTGTGCGCGCGTGCACTTCTTTTTACACACTATCCCCTACACAGTTACGTGTTAGTTGACTTGTATCAGATGACACAAAGTGACGAAGCCGCGTTAATGGAGAAAAATTAAACATAGAGGAAACAGAAAGAGACAAGAACAGAAGATGAAAATGATAAGAAGGTACAAAAACAATTGAAAAAAATAAAGAAGAAGGTACAAAGAAACATCAGCATATAAATCTTGTTTTGGCTTTTCACTTTCTTTTCTCTTTACTGTAATGTAACTAACAAAAGCATTTTGTTCTAGTAAACCTTTAGCCAAAAAGTTTGCATTTTGTTCAGATAAATTCTACCCTAAAAAGATTATCTTTCTTGTCGTTTTTTTTTTGCTATCAAGAAATAGATGGGTATTCTTAATTAAATTGAGAACTAGCAAATTGTTGCATTGCTTCAGTTATGGTCGATTTACTTGGGTCTAATTCACAGCTAAAACATTTTGAAGGTCATTGAATTTTCCTTACAAATTCTTGATTTATTTGATTATTTTCTTAGTTTCATTTTTCTAGTCAGGTGGGTGGATGATTTTGTTTTTCCAGGTGATAATGCTCTGTGTAGGGAAATATGGAGGGCATGTTCTGGTTCATTGTTGGATGTTCCCAAGCTTGGGGAGAGAGTTCACTACTTCCCCAGAATTCACATGGATCAGGTTTTTTTTTTCTTTCTTTTTTTTGGTAGTGTTAAATGATAGTAACTTATTTATTAGTAATCTCAGTTCCATTTAATGTGACGATGTTTCTTTTTAGTCTGTTTTGAAAAGAATAACACATTTATGTAGTTGGAACTATTTACTATAAACTCCTATAATTTGCAGTCAATGATATGCTCTTATAGATATAGAAATGTAATTGTAGGTTTAAGACCATCATAGTATTAGGTTACTTTCAGTATGTAAGAAAAGTCTTTCATTCTTTTTTGAACTCCGTGTCCAGTCATCCGCCGACATATAAAATGAAACGAAGTAAGTATTAGAATGAAATGGATCACTAGGGCTAATAGATGTAGATTCATATTGTGGCTCCAACTGGTTTGGATTGAGGCACGACTGATTTAATGGTGTGGTTGCTAGAAAACTTGTTTTAAATTTTTACCACTTTTTCCCCCTAACGAATTCCTACTTTTCTGGTCAGTTGGAGCAATCATCCAATCTGGAATGGATTCAAGGACTACAACTGTCCCATCTTCCCCGAAAGATACTATGTCGGGTTCTTCATATTCGTCTTCTGGTATGCTTGACATTACTCTATCATCCACCATTTTCTTTTCCTTTTTCAAATGCTTTAGCTTCTAATCCATAAATATTTTGAGGTGCTTCTTCTTAGGGGTCCGGGAGGATAAGATGCGGGAGGCGAGCATTAGATGGTTCGGGCATGTTAAGAGGAGAGGCACCGATGCTCCGGTGAGGAGGTGTGAGAGGCTGGCATTGGAAGGCCAACGGAGAGGTGAGGCAGGCCGAAGAAGTATTGGGGTAAGGTGATTAGGCGTGATATGGCGTTACTCCAACTAACTGAGGACATGACCATAGTTAGGAAGGCGTAGAGGTTGAGAATAAAGGTAGAGGATTAGGTAGCCGGGTGTTGTCCTTGTTTTGATACGTCTCTTAGCTTCTTTTATCCCTAGATTGTTGTTATTTCTTATTGCTGCCTTGTTCCGATTTCTGTTTGCATTACTTGGTGTTAGTTTTATATTTTCGCTTTGGTTGTCAGATTGATTTGCTTAATGTTGCCCCTTCCCTTTTTCCTCCCTGAACCGTGGGTCTACCGGAAATAGCCTCTCTGTCTTTTAAAGGCAGGGGTAAGGTCTGCGTACATTCTACCTCCCCATACCCCACTTGTGGGACTATACTGGGTCTGTTGTTGTTCTTCTTCTTCTTGGGGGTTGCTAATGGACCCTATGAACTTTGCTTTTCATTAGGGGGTGGGCATGGATCTTATGAACTTGCTTGTTACTTTTAGGATCGCCAATCTCTTTTATATAAGTCTCATTTTATTCTCTTTGAGAAGTCTTACATAAATTTGATATATGGTCTTTGTATATTCACAAATACAGCAAGGTCCGGTGGGACAAAAAAGTTGTTGAGTTGGGAAAACTATTTAAGGAAAATGACTATATCGGAGAATGGTTAGAATAATCACAATGTTGGGAAGCCAGCCTCGTGGACTAGCTCTATGGTTTTTTTTTTCTGTATTCATAGGCCATGCTATTTGAGTGTCTACTGCAGTCTTGCACAGGTCCTTATGATATGAGATCCGGGTAAGTGAACCATATTCACTATCTCTATGATAATTTGTGTATTCGATTCATCGTGGAAATAGCTCCTACATGTAGAGATCTTACGCGATTTCAATTTTGAGGTCTAACCTGCATGATCCAACCATGATCACCAACAGAGCCTAAGACTTTAAATTGATGTCGAGGAAGTAGATTAGTGCACATAGCATGAAAAGTTTTATTCTTGCAATGATTAACCAATGCACAAAGAAAGTAGTTCAAATGTTTTTTCTGTTGTATCACTATAGACATTATTATGAACGGTCTTTGCTTAAAACGAAGATCTGTGGAGCCATTAGTTTACAGTAATTGTTTCTATATGCAGGTCGAACATGACACAGAAGAGGTCTATGCTGAAACTATATTGTTGCCAAATCAAGAAGTAACAACTTAATTTACTTGCTATTTGAAGTTTTTCTGGCATCACATATACTTTCAGCATGAAAATAACTTTTTTGCAGCAAAATGAGCCATCAACTCCAGAGTTTTGTCCGCTTGAACCTCCAAGGCCCCAGTATCAGTCATTTTGCAAGGCTTTAACTACCTCTGATATAAAAAGCAACTGGGGATTGTCTGTGCACCGGAAAGATGCTAACAAATGCTTCCCTCCCCTGGTAATGCACTATCTTCATATACCTATTTCAGTAATTTTTCTCGTGTATTCTTTATATGTTTCTTAAATGAATAGTAAGTTATCTGGTTGACTAATTTTCATTTTCGGGGACTTTTCTCGTCCATGATCAGGACATGGCGCAAGAAAAACCAACCCAAGAATTGATAGTCAACGATCTTCAAGGCAATGAATGGCGCTTTAAGCATGTATTCCAAGGCAATTCCTCCTCTCTTATGTTAGTCAGATTTGAATATTGTGAGACTGAATTCTTTTTGTGTTATTCTACTATGCAGAAGCATCATGACGAAGAATTGAACCTAGGAATATAGCTGCTATAGTAGGACGTAGCATTTACTAATGTTCATTATCAAACAATGTGAATGTTAAAATGAAATCATTGTTGTATTTAATTTTCATTGAATCTGCTATGCACCTTTGCCTAAACTAAATCACTTTAAGTGAATGAGTTATATCTTGCTATTTTGTTCTCACTGTCCAAGTTAATTTCTGCATGAATTACACTGAGTAGGCCAACCTCGGAGGCATTTGCTCACAAATGGCTGGGGTGCATTTGTTACTAGTAAGAAATTGCTTGCCGGGGATTTAGTTGTGTTCTTAAGGTACTTTCCCTATGGGTGTTACTGTTGTGCCGCGTGTCCTGCAATTATATATCTTGTACTGTAGCATGTTTATCGTTTCCTGCCTAATTTGGTTTCTTTCCCTCTTATTTTCATCAAGGGATGAAACTGGCAAACTACATGTCGGGATTAGGCGTTTATCTTATCAATGCAACTCCGTTGGATCATCAACATTTTCAAGGCAAAGCATGGAAGGGGTTCTTGCAGTTGCTTCCCATGCCTTTGCAACCCGAAGTCTCTTTTCTGTCTACTACAAGCCATGCCACAATAGGTAAAATTTGTGAACTAAAATGAAGTTTGCAATGAGAACTTCGCAATCATATTTACATAGATATGCTTTTGGTTGAGCGCTACAGATCAAGTCAATTTATTATGAGCTTGAGCAACTATTTTGAAGGTGGAAACCATGGGCCTGGGGTTGGCACGATATCTAGAACGCAACAGAGCAGTCTGGATTCTCATGTGAAAAGGTTGTGGAACATTGAGCTCTATTTGATACAAATCTTTGGCAGAAAAAAATTCTGTACATTGATTAGTTTTTTCGATATGCAGAACAAGTGGTATGGACCAGATGTCATTTCCTCAGGGTCAACACATGACAAATCTTTTGCTCGAGGAGGATCAATATATGCAAGACTCAGAAGCAATATCCATTTCTGCTCGACCTACTATGATGCCTTTGGAGATCGAACAACAGTCAGTTGAATCGCTTAACAATATCCATCATATAGAGGACAATGTACTGCAACCGCATACAGCAGTTGCAAGGGAGAATAACGAGGGATTTATTCCGAACGAAACTGTGGCCATCCAAGCTCAAGATGAGAACTTTGATGAGTTATTCAAAGAAACTGACTTTCCAGACTTTGTAAACACTAGTCTTGATACTATAACTTTGGATTGGGATAGTGATCTCCGATCCACTATACAAGGTAATATTTATATCATAAAATGACTCTATACCAAAATGAACGTATACTCCAAACTGGAATTGCAAGTTTTTGGTCTGTCCATTTTCATTTTAAGAAGCTAAATTTTCTCCTTGTAGATTTTGATGAATGGCTTGAAGAGCAAGAAGAGACTAATCCTCCCGGTCTGCAGACTTGTTCAGAAGATCACTCGAGACAGACTTCTTCCATATTAGAGCAACCAACATCCTCCCAAGTGATGTCTATTTCTTCTACCCCAAGTCGAATTCCCTATAAAGGACCTGGTCGTGGTGACGAGCAAGTTCCTTGGGGAAGATATCAAGTAGCACGACGATGTTTACCAATACTCAATAGGGTTGTCTCGCGGTACCCTGATTCACTCGTGAACTTCAAGGTTGCAAGTAGCATATTTCAGTCACTGCATTTGGAAATACTGGCAGAACTAGTCTACTTTCTTGATAATCTTACAGTAATGAACTTGTCCAAGGATCAGTTCAATGTTGCTGGGCAACATCTGTGGGACTTAAAGTTAAGTGGCATTGAATTAGGATGGCTTGAAAAGCGTTTAGCACATATCGATGGAGCATTTAGTATGGAAAATTTACTGCAACGGCGACAAGCAGTCACACTTAGAATGGGGGAGACTTTAGCTACATTTAGGCAGTTGGATGAGGAGCTTGGACGTATAAACAAGGAGCTTCATGAACTATCTCTAAAGGTTGGACCAAATCCCCCCATGAGATTCCACCCTGTCTTGGAGGGTCTGTTGTAGCTTTCTATTTGACTGCATGGTAAGGAGAAAAATCCCAGCACAGTCCACTATCTTTGGACGTAGGCTCAAAATAATCCTATTTCTTTTATGCCAAGTGCTAATAGTCCACATTCTTTTACCAAGTAGTGCACTAATGGTCCTTTCCTAAACATATGTGATTTTTAACAGAGATGGTCATGCGCGCCTCATGTGGATTTTTCTTTCGGAGCAAACTAAATCTTCTCTTTATCTTACGTCAAAATTGATCCCCCATTTCTTTCCCAAGTTTTTTAGAACCCTTGTTTTCAAATTGGCGAGATACCTATTAGTAAACGAGAGATTTTATCCGTTAAAATTCTCATAGACGTTTGGTTTAGAACTGGAAGTGCACCACTTTATCAAAAATGTGGACTATGAGGAAAAAGTAGGATCGTTTTGAGACTAAGTCCAAAGATAATGGACTATTTTGGGTTTTTCTGGCATGATAATAGCTCTTGTTAGTGCAGAATGAGCTCTAGGAGTTGTCTTTTGGTTGGCACCATTCTTTAATATGTGACATTGTTGTGTTCTGTTGCAAATTCTTGCCTTCTTGTATACTAGAGGAGTAAATCTCTCCTTTTGTGATAAGTATAACAAGGCATTTGCATATACAGTCAAACCTCTCTATAATAGCATCGTTTGTTCCGAATATTTTTGGATGTTATACCGAAGTGTTATTATATAGAATATATACTAATAACATAAAAATTGGTTCCGAAAAAGCTTGACTTTTATAGTGAGGTGTTATTATGTAGGGATGTTGTTATAGAGAGGTCTGACTGTATTCTCATTTTTTGGGTCATCATTGAATTTATACCCGCATTGCACAAAACTTTGCAAAGTGTACCTGCTCGGATCTGAAGTAGTACAATCAATTCAATGCAACTTCAAAAATCAAATCTGAAGTTCTCCTATATTTCAACTGCAATTTTAGAAATTCAAATCTTAATTTGTTCAAGCTCTTAAAAGCAACTTTAGATTTTGAATTTGAAGTTCTTCTATCTTTCAATTGCAACTTCTGATTCGAATCTTAAGTAGTTCAATCTTTCAATACAACTTCAGATTCAAAATCTGAAATCTTAAGTAGTTCAATTTTCAGTATAACTTTAGAAACATCAAATTCAAAATTTGAAGTTTTGAAACATAAACCTGTTCTTCGAATTTCAACAATCCATCATACGATTCAATATTCCACTCTATTCCAAATAAGCTCAAATATGAAACATAACTTTCAAATATCATAGATAATGAATCTCAATCATCAAATTGTTAAAACAATAACAAATTTAACAAATCCATTGTGCAACTAATCTGAAGAATGTATGTAATCTGAAGTTACTAAAAATTTAATATCAGTTAAACTTTTTTTTAAAAGTGGGTACAGATTCAATGGGTGATGCAAAACTGGGTATCACATGAAACTTTTACGTTCATCTATAAACAAATTCAGCCCATTTTTCCTTTAATAAACAATACTTGCTTAATTCAAATAATTTAACGCTAGGCAAATATTAAGTGCGTTTGAAATACTAACCATGTGTTTTTACATGATCTTTGGTCAATATCAATTAATAAAAATGGTTATGTGATTGTGAGCAATCCCACTCCTGATTCTTAAATAATAAATCATGCTCTTCAATAATTAATCGTATGTGAACTATGTGCACTACCACGTTCTTGGTTTAATGCATTTAAGCAAATAAAGGTCTGGCGTGCCCACAGTCTTCTAGGTCAATATAATTAATAAAATTTGACAATTATTAAGCGGCAATATTTAAGGTAAATATAAGCCAAATTTTAGTCAATAAAAGCGGTGCTAGAACCACGAGATTCGGAGAGTACCTCACCCCTTCTCCTCAGTCAATAAAATTCCTTACCTAGTCTCCTATTTTTGTGGACCAATAATTATAGAATCAAAATTTCCTTTGACTAGCTATTCAAAAAAAAAGTGATTTGAAACACCAACAATTCAATTCAGGTGGGACTCTGTAAATAAAATAAACCATGCTCAAATTTATCACTTTAACTAGAAAAATCCTTTAATTCTTTAACTCCCATCACCACAACATATATTTTTTGCGGGGTGGTAAAAAGGGAGGGGTTGACAGAAAGAAGAATGGTTAATGTAGAATTATTAACGTTTAATATGCAGTTAATGCATTCAATCATGAGTTCAAAAAAATCGAAACTTTTGCACCCCGTAGCATCTAAATGACTTGTACTGCGTATATAGGTAAAATATTACGTTTTAGAAGTATATAAGACATATTGAATACCCTTTGTCAGGAATTTTTTTTCACTTCTTTCAAATTTGAATACCCATGAAAAAATTCCTAGCTCTGCCACGCGGCGTTCACTTTGTTATTCTTATAATCAACATGTTTCATGGTCAAAATTCTTAGAAGACTAGAGTTGTGGCGACAATGTAAAATATCTATTTTAGAAGTTTCTAACCGCTCCCTCGAGTTCTAAGGCAAAAGATCATCATTTTACTTGCATCTGTCGAAGAACAATGTACGATTAGGGTGGGGTGTGGGAGGGGGGGGGGTGTTTGTTAATGCAACCAAGAAGATAAAGGTACACATTGGCCAGCAATTTTCATCCATACATGAAAATGGTTAATCCTGCTAAAAGAAAAAAAATGAAATTCTTGATTGGACATTCTTATCCATCGTGCCACTTTTAAACAGAAGGACAATATCACAAAATCTCATGCTAAATGGAACTCGACACTATCTCAGTATTTCATCAAACCAGAAGCTGGTAAATCAATTGCCCTGATCAGAGTGTAAAAGTATACACATCTTTGTTGAGGATTAGATGTTCCCAGAATGTGTGTTACCAATTTGCACCATCTTCTGAATCGCGGGACTGGTAAAAGTCATCCGGTCTCACAATATTTACATCCTCAAATTCATTGTCATCTAAAAGCAAGAATATGCACAGCCATAATGAGAAAAGTTCGACTAAAATGCATATCGTAAAGCCAAAAGTTAGAACAAAGTATAAAATCAAATACAAATGTTCACAAATTAAAATGCTCTGGGAGGACATGGAGATCACAACCAAAAAGCTAAATAAATTCCACCTCAAAAGCACAACTGGTTTTCCTTTTAAAATGTCATGTAATTGGGTATGCGAGACTGCACGAGCACTTGCATTGCCAATAAATTTCAATAGCATTCAAGTATTTGACTAAATAGAAGTTCAACTAATTCGAGTACCAATATAAGATCAACTCCTAATGCAAAATATAGAGGTTTATACTTCTCTAGTCAATGAGTCCTAATGCAACTATTCTGTAAAAAAAATTATTGGTATAACTATTTTGTACATATAGATGAAGTGACTGTGAGTCAACATCCTCC